ATTCTCCAAAAGGAAAAGGAAAAGATGCACTCGTCACCAGTAGTATAATATTTTCACCACATATAAAATGATATGTGTTGATGTTTCAAATATGATTTGGGCGAAAAGTTTCCCGTGTTAATTAGATCTGCAAACATGGAGTTGACAGTGAAAGCACCATTAGTATTCAACCTCCGTCGGAAAATATGATATGCTTGTGTTAGGTTGACTGTCATTAACCTCCGCACTAAGTGGAGCCACAATGTACTTTTTGCCGATCAAAGACCTACAAGACAGAATATTAAGAAGACTAGCCCCAAGAACAGATATACAATGGAAGCACCTTTGCACTATGTTGAACAATTTTGGATACCGGCATCCTCTAACAATAAATCTTCCCAGAAACTAGTGGATTGACCACCACCAACCAAAAAGGAACCTTCACTAAAAAACAAAATCTTGACTCGCATCTAGCCCTTCCAAAAGGGCTAGTCATAGGGCCTGATCTCCACTTGCAACAATGATTTGGAGTGAAGGTACATGTTCTGCAGTATCTCCGGCCACTCATCGTTAAGTAATTTGTACAACCATGCATTTTCTAAGCAACCACATACTTTTGGTCTCAAGTTTTTATATACCTAGTGCACCTTCGTCTTTGTGTCTACACGACACTTCTCATTTGGCTAATTTATACTTCCTTTTGTACTCATCACATTGGCGGAGGAATCTAGACCGAGAGAAGTCGAATCTTTTCAACACCCCTTCTGGTACTTCAAATAATGAAAGCATAAACATTGGAAAGCTCATAAGGACCTGAGTTAATAAGAATTATGCAATCACAACAAACACATGAGCTTGCCCTTCCAGCTGCTAAGCTATTTTTTAACCAATTTTCGATAGTCTTACACTCTTTATTAGTAAGGTTTGTATGACGGATTGTTATCCCAAGAGACCTAAAAGGGAGAGAACAACCCCACAACCAAATACTTGCATGTACTCATTTTCTCATCTTTTGCATTTCCAAAACAAAGAACGCCACTAGTTAATATGGTATAGTATAATTGATAAATTATCTTGTCTCTTGTGATTCTGATGACTACAATGCTACTTAATAATATCCTTGGTTAAGTTAGTTAAACACCTCTTGTGAGAATTTCCTTTTTATTTATAAAATACAGACCTACTGGTACATATGAGCATTCTGCTCCCAGCTATATATACGCGCCCCTCAACACTCTCGGGCTTCTTCTGTTTAAAAGTTTATGAAGTCATTCAGGCTGTCGTTTTGCCCGCCGTAGAAGCGTCCAAAAGAAAAGAAAACACTCGACGCCGGCAAGTCAGGGAGATACATGGCCGACGACGCCGAGAACCCGAACCAGCACGGCGAGACGGCCTCCGCCGGCGAAGGAAACAAGTCCATGGGCCTGTGGGGCGTACTGTGGGTCAGCTGGACGGTCCTCGCCGTCGGCGGCCTGGTGGTCCTCGTCTGCCGCCACTCCATTCACGCGCCCAAGGAGGTCCGGGTCCTGGCCGGCGCCGGCCTCGTGGTGGCCTTCGTGGGGTTCATCGGCGGGGTCGCCTGGTACGGCGAGCCGGTGTCGGAGCGAGGAGGTCGACGGTCGATCGCCCGGCGAGGATAGATTATTGTTTGTTATGGTTTCTTGTGTGCGTCCTTTGTGTATGTTGTCACGTACGTACGTACGTACGTAACGTGTCAAATAGAGGCTGCGTCGTCGGAATCGGTCGTTGCGCCGATGCCATTGTTGATACTATCTTAATTCTTTCGTGAGACGCGACAACGAGTTCAATGAAGGGTCTGTCACATTGTCGAAAGAAACAGAGGGAAAACTCCAAGCCTAGATTGTTGGTTCATGTGTATGCGTGTGACATCGTACGCTCGAAATGAGTCGGCTCACTAGGCTGTTAGTAGCACACACTTGTAGTTATGCCGATAAGACAGAGAACTAGCGACAAATTGTTGTGATCATGGATATCCGTTTTTTTAGGCTAAGGCCATCATGGCTAGCTTTATTAATTTTAAACAACGCTTACGATTACATCCTTCGACAAAAATTCACAAATAAAAACAGGAGGCGAGTCCCACCACAGATTTGATGGATCATCACGTCAATTCCGCGTTAGCACATTAGCTACTATATTTGATTCACGGTTACACTGCTCTATCATGACCTTCCTGAAGTTAAGTAACAACAACACTCCTCAAGAATTGGAGCTATCACCATTGAGTGCCCGAGTTGTGTTGGAGAGCTTCCACTAAGATCAAGCTATCCATCTGCACTAATAAAGAGTTGCTTCCAACTGTATTAGCAAGTGTTAGCCTTCTACAATAGATGCAGCTTCATCTGCGACATGGTCAAGCTTTGCAATAGATGCCGCAACAAATAAGCCCCTGCTGTCCCGAATGATGGCGCCACATATGCCCCGTGTTGGTATCCTCTATAAACGCAGCGTCGACGTTCAGAGCCAATTGATTCAGTAATGGTTTCTTCCAATGGTTAAGACATGGAGTTGTCGCTGGCTTGCATGCAGCTCTTACGAAATTCAAAGCTAGAGCTTGTATCACCTGGCCCGTCCGTGCTCGAGGTTGCACTGGTTCCTGACGAGTTATAAGTCTCCTCTGCCACCACAAGTACCATGATGCCACAGCAATCAACTCAGGCAACTCCACTGATCCATATATTTAGTGTTGTGTTCTGGGTCACACAAAAATATCTCAATGATCTCGATACCTGACAGACCTACTATGGCCACCTTGGGCATTATTTCATGCAGTCAGAGGCCCCTTCAAATCTCCAGTGCTCTATCACATTTGGATAAAAGATGTGCTATATCTTCCGCAAACCGTGAGGAAATTGGGCATTGAGCGGAATGTGTGACGTGTCAATTTGCTAGCACGCAGCGACAGAGAATGGCGTCATGTAAACATCTCCACAGAAAAAAAATTACCTTGCCCAGGACATTCAAACTCCATAGCCTTTTCCATGCTGGATGAGACGAGGAACCTCGTATACCGATTGGATTTGCATTGTTTGATTCATAGCACTCCTTCCACTGCCTATAGTATGCTGACCAGACACTAAAAATGCCCAATTTTGTGAGATCCAAGCAATGAAGTCTTTGGTGTCATGCTGATATATTGGGATTTGCAAAATCCTCTCGGCATCAGTATACCAGAAATAGCATGAATCAATGTTTCATCCCACTCTCTAGTAACTGGATTTATAAGCTCATTAATTGTAGTGGGAACATATTTGCCATGCACTATGATGATCTTTCTGGAACTGCTATTCGGGATCTAACAATCCTCCCAAATGTTATTTTCCAAACCGTTTCCAACTCTCCATATGCAACCCTTTTTAAAAGTTTGGATTCCTGACAAAATTCTTTGCCATGCATAGGATAACCCCTGTTTTAGATCACAATTTATCAAGTCACCGGAGGGGTAGTACTTAGCTCTTAAGACTTCAGCACAAAGTGAATCATACTTATTTATCAATGAGCCGCCATCACTGTTTAGCAAGCAAGATTGAAACTGTGTATATCACGAAATCCCATACCTACCCAAACTTTTGGGACACACATCTTTCCACAATGCAAACAAGTGTAATTTACATTGGTCTTCACCATCAAGCCCCCCCCCCCCAAATGCGATACAGTATCAGTGATTCCCTCGTAAATTTTCTTCAAAAATTTGGATGCACCCATCGCATAAATTGGAATGGCTTGAGCCACCGCTTTTAGAGCCTCTTTACCACCATAAGATAATGTTCTTTCTTTCCACCCATTCACCAGCTTCTATATTCTTTCAATAAGATGCTTAAAACAATCAACACAAAGCATTGATGGGAGTCCCAGATATTTATTAGACAAAGATTCAGTCATCATATCAAGAATCTGGCATACTTCCACCTTCTCATCAACATGGATATTTGGACTGAAATAAACAGAGGATTTGGCGGCACTAACCAGTTGCCCAGAAGCAACACAATAGTCATCAAGAATCCTCTTCAGAGTGGTAGCATTGGCAGCATCTGCCATCATAAGTATCAATGAATCATCAGCAAATAATAAGTGAGAGATAAACAGGGAAGCCCGACAAACCTAGACCCCTTTCAGGTGCCCATTCTCCTCCTCATGAGCAATTAAAGCTGACTTCATAATATAGAAACATTCATAGGCCATAATAACATTGCCAGTGAAGATCCGACTAGGAATGAAAGCACTTTGCGTTTCACTAGTAATGTCAGGAAGGAAAACTTTAAGCCTAGCTGCCAACATTTTTGCAATGACTTTATAGACCACTGCATTTTTTTATCACGCTGCCAAGCCACCTATAAGGTACACTCTATGAACTTGAGATTACACTGCCCCACCATGTGGTTAGCGGTTGCTTTTTCTCGGGAAAAAATGTTAAACTAGTTTTATGAAAAAATGTTAATCAAGCATTCGTAAAATGTTGAATTTGTATTAAAAAATATTAACCATGTATTAAAAATGTTATTCTTGTATTTGAAAAATGTTAATGAAGCATTTGAAATATTATAAGATATGTATAGAAAAAACGTTGACCATTTATTTAAAAGATGCTTATCTTGTATTTGAAAATGTTAATCAAGTATTGGACCGGCGAGACATAGAACGAGTATTGGACCGGCGCGCTGGACAAGAACGATTCATCGAGACGGATGTTAGTCTCGCTATAAGCGAGACATAGCATTCGCGGTTAAAAACCAGTATTTGTTTTTTGAGTAAGGTTAAAAACCAGTACTACATTTTTTTTTGAGACAACAAATAAAACCAGTACTGCAATTTTTTTTTAGGCAAACGAGTAAATACATGCCTCCTCGTCGTGTCCGAGTCTTGTGTGGAAGCCCATTAACGAAGGCCAGCCCATGTGGGTTTCGGCCCGGAGTAGAAAGCCAACGCAACCCCAATCTGATCTAGGGATTCATTTCCATTTGCCCCTACCAAAATCCGAGCGCCGACGGCGGCGAGGTTTGATGGATTCTTCGGGAGCGGAGATGGAGACGGAGACGGAGAGGGAGTCCAGGAAGAGGCCTAGGGTAGCGGCGGCGGCGGCGGAGGGCCCTTCTCTGGTGGCGGCGGCAGCGGCGGGGGACCCTTCTCTGGCGGCGGCGGCGGAGTACGCGGCGTGGTTGGAAAGAATGGCGGAGACGAGACGAGCGCATGAGGCGAAGGCGGCTGAATTCCGCAAGAACCTGCTGGCGAATCCTTTGACGGCCGAGCAGTTGCGAGAGCGCAAGGAAGCCGCGTGGGAAAAGTACAACAACGAGTCGTGGGAGAGGGCTCGCGACAACTGGATCTGGCCTCCCTTCGAAGCCGACAGTATGGATCTTATCCTAATCCCCTCTATCTTTAGTTTCTTTCTTGCACCATTAATTTTGGAGCGTGCTGCCTAGCGGCCTGCTGTGCGGCGGCCGATTGCATCCGGCACGATCACGTGTCCTCCGATCCTCGCAAGCTTATTCTTTACTAAATCACCAATTCAGACGTTTGTGTTCCAATAAAAATCTATTGAACCATTGGCGTCTTAGGTAGATCTAAACATAAGTGAAAAGGACAGAAAATTTGTCTTCTGTAAAATTTGCAGGTTTTTCCTAAAAGAATGGGGAAAATTAAATAAATAAGTATGGATACCGTTGACTTCATGGGATTACACTTTTCGGCTACAGGCAAAATGTTATTGTACTACTCAAAATGTTATTGCCACACAATTGCTTGTTGCGGTTTACCTGTATTTGTTTCGTACCGCTTGCCAGATTGTGTACATGCCAATGGGTTTGATGTGAGTACCACTTTAATTGTCCTGAGTTCTATTTACACGCACTTGTCTGGATAGCACGGTGTGATTGTTGTCATTTTAATTATCCCGAGTTGCCTAGTGTTCCTCATCCCTTGTATGTTTACTTTCATTCTTTGGCTAGGATCGATGCAGCGAAAATCTCCTAATACTATTTCGTTTGATATATTAAATTTTGATTGATATGTTGTTTTCGATTCCACCCATCCACCATCCCTCTTGTAACTAACGAGCTTGTATTTGCTGCAGCGGACATCTCTTGCATGCGCTTTACCAACGAAAATATCAACGACCCTAATTATCCACGCCTTGTCTGCACCATGGCAACTCTGCAGATTGTTTCAGTCCAGGTGAAGGAAATAACCGATGGGTTACATTGGCCGCTGGATGTTTATGGTTTTGTCGCTGTGCGTGATGTGGTGGATCGCAAACGCATTATGGTTTTCAACCGTGAAAGGGATGACTACCAAAGAATCACCGAGCAGGTTCGAAAAAATTGTATTTTGGCCCACTCTAATACATACTCCCTCCGTCCCATAATGTAAGACGTTTTTTGACACTACACAACGTCTTACATTATGGGACGGAGTAGTAGATATGAATGACTGGAATGGAATAGCAGCTAGGGAGTAAACCATTCCTTTTCTTGTGCATCACCATAATACTACCATGCCTAGGAATAGGATACACAAACGTGACCGCAGCTTGAATTTGGCTATGTAAAATACAGAAAACATGGGAAAAATAGATATTGAAGCTATGCATGAATAATGATGCAAGTTTGAGGCAGAAAATTACAAATGATGCGTAGTTTTTTGCAAAACATTGTATGTAATGTCACAGTTTGCTTTGAGTATACAAATATCATGTTGTTATTTATAGTATTACTATTGAGGTCATGATGATGATGATGATCATGTTTTTATTGTTGTTACTATTACTATTTGTCACTGAAGCATAGGGCTAATATTTTCTTAGATATTTTTCTAATACAACTCAGAGAATTTACGGTATGCACTTCTGCAATTGAACAGACAAGCTCCCTCTTTTTTTTCCATTTCTGCCACGCAATGTTTTATAGTTCAATTGGTTCCTGCAAGCTGAAGAGTTATAAATATTTATCATGTTTACTTCCCATCTCAAATGTCCTCTTGCAAATCCTGCTAATGGTTAAGTTACATTTTTCATGTTTGTCATCGGCATATTTTGGACTCAAGTCACCATCATGAAGTTCCACTTGATACACTAACTGTGTTTTGATAGATGCACTCTCACTTGTATTAACGAAGGATAAACTGAATATATTCCACTGCAGTTCATGCTATTGATGAATGAATCTATTTTTATTATTGTTTACTTAAATGACTGATGCATGCAGGATTCCTACCTAACACTGACCGGTCCTACCCGTGGTGTTGTCATGACGATTGATCCTTCGTATTTGGAGGCTAAGCTCAAAGTAAGAGGTGCAACTGAATCTGAGGACAAAGATTTGAGCAAATTTGCTAAGACGTACAGATTGGGCTGCTACCTTCCTATTAAGCACACAAGCAAGCTTTGCACACTGGAGCTGCAGCATTACACTGTTTGTTCATCTGTGGAAGCCACAATTCGTGTCCAAGTCATTGAAGGGCAGTTTCCTCGTGATTTTCGTGGTGTGCTTACTGCTAGCACTGACTCTGAAAGCGGTGTGATGATCTCATTACTGGATTTTAGTAGTGATGAGTTGCCAGTTGATGCTGATGGATCTGTGAAGCTATCACGCCAAGTTGTTTCTGTTAAGAAAGGGGGGAATCTGAAAGTTTCTATCTGGCAACATGGTGTTGGTGAGGAAGAAGACCAAGAGATAACTGCTGCATCATTTGTAGCTAAGGAAGCTGAAACAAGCACTAATTACATGCCGATGAAAAAATGGAAGTGCTGGATGGAAGTCAGTGTCGCCTGGTCCCTTTTCAGCTGTTGGTGAGGAATAAGACCAAGAGAGAGATAGATAGAGAGAGAGAGAGATGCCAAATCGTTGGAAGTATATCTATGTAATGGCATGCTGACGACTTAACCCCTTGTCCTATTGTTTGAAGTGGTATTTTGACGGTGTACCAACTAATGATCGGTGCTTGCATGGACAATGCAGGATTTGTTGTATCTTCTGTTCGAAGAGATATTGCTTCATGTCTTTTTTTATTGTATAGCTGCAATAGTTTATTTGCTTGAATCACATGCCAAGTCAATTGTTAACTACAATTTTTCTTTTCTGATAACAGTTTATTTGCTTGAAAAGAGGCTGCTTCTGTGCTCACAGGACATCACGTGAGATGATAAGAAATCTCAAATAAAGATAAGAACACAGCACGGGCAAGGAGGATTACTTGTGCAATGTTTAGTAGCCTTGTAGTTTATATGTACTGAAGGTGTCACCAAGGAAGGGTGACCAAACTTTAATCATGTTGCTGTCAGATGGTGTTTCCGGACTAGTTTAGTGATGTGAGTTTCAGAGAATGTCATTGTTCTGTGGAGCTCAAAACAACTAATTATGATTTTAATATCATGTTTTGTACTGTAACTTGAATCTCTGTGGTTTCGTTAGTAAAATCTGGGTGGAATCCCTTCATAAAAAGAGTATTAAAACTGACGTATGGTTGACAACAACATAATTCTCTGAATGATATCGATTAGTATGGAATGTGTACATGTTATGTTAGTGGTGCTCAAACTCGGAGTTAAATGCACAGAACCACAACTTTCGTGCCATGACTTACGGAAAACCACCACATTACAAAACATGACATTTTGCACCGAACCCAAGAATTGACGGTGACGAAAAACACTAAGTTAAAAAATGAACTCGTTTTGACATGGCAAAGCGGTCGCGTGGCTTGTGGTGGACGTCGCAAACAGTAATGGCCGTTAACGGCCTGGCCGACCAAGCCGGTCGAAAGATTCCCAAAAAGGAAACGGTGGCCCTCTCTCTCCACTCTCGCTCACTAAATCCCCTCTACACCCTCGCCCTCGCCCTCGCTCCCCTCTGCGCCGCCGCCACCACAATGCCTTCTTGGAGAGATCTGGAAGACATCAGCAAGGAGGAGCTGACCTACACATGCATGGACGTGGATGTGTGGTTATGTATACATTGGTTTCGGTTAGGGTTAGGGTTTGAATATTATGAATTGCAGAGTGTGACATTTTAGATCCTCCCTTCGCTGCCTCTCGTTTGTGCCTAAGGCTTCTTGTCAATGCATGAGAATCCTTATACAACTATTGATGCTTCCTTCTGTGGGTCAGTGATTGATCCACATATGAAATGCAAGCTTCACAAGTTTAGGGACAAGAAATGTGTTGCATTCGATGGCATAAACACAGGTAGAAGATTCTATGGCTGTGCTAAGCAGGTAATAGTTTATGAGGTTATTGTTTACTGAATGTGGTTTGCCATTGAATGTGCTAGTGTTAATTGAATTACTATTATTAATTGAACTTGCTACTATTAACTGAATTTGCTACTAGTCAACTGAATCACTAGTGTTAATTGAATTACTCCTGTCAACTGAATCACCTCTGTTAACTGAATTACTACTATTAACTGAATCACTAGTGCTAATTGTACTTGCTATTGTTAATCGAATCACTAGTGTTAACTAGATTTGCTCTTGTTAACTGAATTGCTACTATTAACTGAATTAATACTATTAACTGGATTTGATAGTGTTAGCTGAATTGCTACTCTTAACTAAATTACTACTGTCAACTGAATTTGATAGTGTTATCTGAATCATAGTTTGAACTGACTTTGGTATTGTTAACTGAATTACAGTTACTGCTGTCAACCGGATTTGCAGGGAGGTATTTATTGTGGAGTGATTGAGTGCGTTGATGGTCCCTGGTTTGTCATACTTCAGAGGTGCCTGAAAAAACTTTGGGAGATGTTTCATGGCCAGAACTAAGGCATGGTAATGGATAGACAGGCTTATGACAAAAAAATAGCCAAACTAGAGAAGCAAAATGACTTCATGTGCAAGCAATACAATGATATGGTTGAGGAAGTTGGCCAGCTTTCTGATTAGCAAGATGGAAAGGTGCAGCATATGGAACATGAGAATGCAACAAAGCATGTTGAAGATGTCAAGAAAAAGCTTGCAGAGTTAAAGGAACAGTCAAGATGGAGCTGAAGATGGAGAAGATTAGGCTGTCCAAGGAGTAGAGGTGCATCCTGACTTCTCAAGCAGATATCATCAGGAACACTAGGAAGGCCATGTGGGAGGTCAAGGAGGACATGGATGTTCTTCAAGAGGAGAAGAAGAACCTCAAGAGTGTGATTCCGGAATATATAATAGGCCATGAACACCAAGGAGCTAATAATGTTGTGAAAGTGCGTTATATCGACTAGAGGGAGGGGGGGTGAATAGGCGATTTTTATGAATTCTTCACCGAGGAATTTGCAGGTGAGGAAATTCCTTAGCGAAGAACTACTTGCAGCGGAATAAGTACTCAAAAGTAAACATAACAGAACACAAGCATGGTCATCATGATGAAATGAAGACAAGCACAGAATACAGAAAGCGTAAAACACAGGATAACACAGGATGAAGACAAACGGACTGAAGAAATTGAACTGGGGAAATTGAGAAAGTCTTCAGTCAAAGTCTTCAAACACAGATATGAACAAGCACACAACACAGTTATGAGGAAATGAAAGAGTTGAGGAAATAGAACCAGTAGGCTTGGTGAAGACAATGATTTGGTAGACCAGTTCCAACTGATGTCTCAGTTGTACGTCTGGTTGGAGCGGCTAGGTATTTAAACCTGAGGACACCCAGTCCCGAACACACAGTCCTCACCGTATTCTCCTTGAGCTAAGGTCACACAGACCTCGCCCAATCACTTGTGGTAAGTCTTCAGGTGACTTCCAAACCTTCACAGACTAGGTCACTCGGCGATCCACAATTCCTCTTGGATGCTCTAGACTAATGACGCCTAACCGTCCGGAAGAAGCACAGTCTTCAAAGGTAACAAGCGTCGGATCCACGCAGGATCAATCTCTTCAGTGATGCTCATTCACTTTGGGTTTGTAGGTGTTTGGGTTTGGGTTTTCCTCACTCGATGATTTTCGCTCAAAGTCCTCGGAGGATGGGACGCTCTCAAATGACAAGTGCCAGTTTCTCTCAGAGTAGCCAACCAGCTAGTGGTTGTAGGGGCGGCTATTTATAGCCTAGGGAGCAGCCCGACATGATAAGACATAAATGCCCTTCAATGATATGACCGTTAGGTGGGTAGATATTTTGGGACAGCTGGCGCATAGCACAGCAACGGTCGGAAATTTGAGAATCAAATTCCTCAGGGCTATCATGTTCCTCACTGTGTAGGCAATCCGCACTCGCAAATTCCTAACTCCTCAGTCAGAACAAATTCCTAAGCGACCATAAGAACTTCGTCTCTGTCACTGAAGAAATTGACTGAACTGTATGAGATTTGCAATGGCTTCACTCGAAGGGATTGGTAGGTGTAGGATTTTGAGTTGAGCATCACTTGGAAATTTTTCCTTAGTATTTCCTCGACCCCCTTTAACAGTACGGTGTTTCCTATGACTCAAAAAAGAGAAAATGAAACTACGAAAACAAAAGTCTTCACGCTTCATGTTCCTCAAATGAATACCAAGTTTTCAAGATCACACCAATTTCTTCACTTTCAAAGTCTTCAGAAAGTCTTCAGAAATCGAAAGTCTTCAATAGAAGAACTTCATTTTTAGGGGTCGACTTTCTCTGTAAATATCAAACTCCTCATAGATTTATAGACCTGTGTACACTCATAAACACATTAGTCCCTTAACCTATAAGTCTTCAATACACCAAAATCACTAAGGGGCACTAGATGCACTTACAATCTCCCCCCTTTTTGGTGATTGATGACAATATAGGTTAAGTTTTCAACGGGAATAAATATATGAAGTGTAAATACTGATATTGAGGAATTTGATTGCAAGATATAGAAGAACTCCCCCTGAAGATGTGCATAGTGAGGAATTTGCTTTTGAAGCAATGCACACTTGAAGAGTTGAATCATGGAGATCTCCCCCTATATATTTGTAATTCATACATGCATTTGACATAATATGAAGAATTTGAAATGCATGATGAAATATGGTGACTGATGTAATTCAGCATGTGTGCATAAACATTAACGAGGAATAAGCATGCAGAAAATCACAGCAAAAGTATCAGGCCACCATAGAGTTTAAGTTTACAACTCGACCCAGCAAAGTCATTAGAAGAACGAGAGTTGTAACTTAAGAAAAAAACACCCATATAAGATAGACCCGCTTGAAGACTAACTCAAATTTCTCCCCCTTTGTCATCGAATGACCAAAAGGATCGAAAATGAGGAACGCCCCTGAAGAATATCAAGTTGATGAAGGAGCGCCAGTGTTGTTGGGGTCATTTGTTGATGTAGGGCCTGCCGCAGTGTCGTCCAAGTCTTCATGCTCATCGGTGTCGCGCGATGAAGAATAGGAGCTGACCACCAAGGAAGGAACCTTGACCTTCTTGTATTTCTTCGGTGGAGGTGCAGACCAGTCAAAGTCCTCCTTGAGACCCATGTGCTTCAGATCTTCTTCACCATATACATGTGACAGAATAGCCCAGGTGCGACCGAAGACTTCATGGAGGTATTAATGGTTTTTCTTCACTGCATTATGTGTAGCAGTCATGTTGTGAAGAATTGAACCAAACTGACGCTTAACCCATTTATGGTTTCGATCCACCTTCTGGTGAACACTAAGCAGAAGCTCACGGTTAGTCATCACACGAGGAGCAGTGGCTTGAGGATTTGGCTTGGAGGCATGGGCAGCAGAATCATGAGTGGCAGAGTCATCATTGGTGGAATAAGATGCAGCCTTGCGAAACTGATCATCCAATGGACGAATGCCTTCATCAATGACAGCAGGAGCCTTGCCCTTTTCATCAGCTGAGGAATAGG